TGCAGGCATTTTTAATGCGAGCTACCTTTAGAGGCAAATCAAACAAGGGCTTTATGCTCTTCTTTGAAGGCACAAGCAGGAGTCTCCTCATAAGGAACGTCAGGATGAGAGAAAGACGGGAATAAAAGGAAATGGAGACGCACAGCGGATAATGAGACGGACCAACAGACGAGTGGACTGAAGGGAGACGAGGGCAGGGAAACTGAGGAGAGGAGCGGAGCTGAGTGAGTAGCACAAAAGCAATGGATCACAGGAGTTTTAATAACACTATACATCAAACCTGCGGCTTCGTCCCGTCGCCCGCCGGTGTGTGTTGGCGTGCGTCTGCGTGTGTTTGCTTGTCCCATTAAACATTTGAACTCTTGTCTGCATCTGCATACATCACTCAGCCCTCCCTCCACTACACACTTCAAACACAATGAGCTGGTGTATATTTTATGGTAAGAGCCTTTTGCGGCTGTGCTGTCACAGGAGGATAATAAACCCCCACCCACACACCCACACACACGCACACACACTCTATTTAAGACACGAGGTGCATCAGCCAGTGCTGAGATGGCGCGATCTCCCCTCTGCACTGCGGTTGCAGTGAGAATGTATTATTTAGAAGCTTTATTTTAATTCCGTTTTTTCTTTTTGTTGGGGAGAGAGAGAGAGGGGGGGGGTTGTTTGTTTACCTCCCCTCTCTCCCATTTCTCCTTGTAGCAACGATCCCGCCAGAAATTCTCAGCTTCCACTAGCTTATCTGGGGGCTCCCGAGGCGATGCAGATCAATTTGCCAACAGGTGGAGCAGGGCGAGAGGCTTTTGTGGCGTGATTGACAACAGCGCCTCATGTGGGGGATGAATGGATGAATGAGGGGTGGAAAAAACAGACATGGGGGGGTGGTACCCCTTTACCGCATGTCGAGCTGTTAAAAACATGCAGCTGAAACTTTTGACTTGGCTTTAAAAAAGTATTTTAAAACACAATGATCTTGTTATCAAATGCCTCAGATGCATCTCACAGAGCAGATACCATACATATATATACACACACATATCAATATATATATATATATGTGTGTGTGTGTGTGTGTGTGTGTGTGTGTATGCCTCTGTGTGTATGTGATGAAGGTTATATTGGTCATATTTATTTGCTTGTTGCACTTATTGCAGGTTTTCCCGCTCAGGAATTCCGGCAGCAGATTGGATCAGATATCCGGTTCCACTCTGGGCATGCAGAGCTGATGTTCGTCACACCAGTACAAACAGCTTGTCTGGTCACCGCTCATGATGCTGACAGAGACAGCTGCCTCCGTGAGCGACTGTAATGGAATTCATGTGCGTGAAATGGATGGAGGACTCAGACATGTTGGTATCTTGTAGGTAATCTGGAGGGAATTCTGGGTTATGGTTTGCATTCCACTCTGTCCAACGTTTCATTTCATGTATCTGCATTTGTAGAGTTTAAACTAGCCCACAGCTACACTGGTGGTTCCTTTTAATGAACAAATGCAGCCTTCAGACTAATTTAACATCCCCCCCTGCCTGGACATAGCATGACATACGCTAAGTGGACATGGATCCATTAGCAGAGCTATGATTCATGTACCTGGAAGCCATCCCAATGACCACTTAGGTAAAAGAGGCCATACATGTTAAGTTGAGCATGAAACCCAGCATACTCCATCAAGCATGACACTTTGAATTGGATGTTTGAGATAACAATGTCGGGTGCACCAGAGGAAGACATGAGGAAAAACTGAGAACTGCTGTGATTAACCTGAAACAAACCCTGCCTCGCAGGGCTTTCGATCTGATCTACGGTGTCACGTTTTTCACCAAAGAGCGGCAATACTGGTTTATATGAAGATTTTTTTTTTTAATTAAGGTCAGAGGTGAATTGCATGTGATCTCACCGCTGATGCAATGTCAACATGTTGATACAACTTTTAAAATATGGAGCTATCAAGGCTTCAGCTGACGACAAGCTGCTTCGGGACATCACAAGAGCTTTCATAGAGCTTCAGCTTATCTGCCAACATGTCCTCAGAAATCAAGACTATTGATTTATCAGCATCTTAAAATAGGTCCAAATGTTTCTTCAACCCTTAATTTTTATTTCACTTCAGCTGAAGGCTATTAAAGATTCTTATTTACATTTTTTTAGCCAGTAAATGGACCTCAGCTTGCTGGGATTTAATTATAGCTCATTTACTCTCAGGTAGCATGAATCACCATGAAAAGGATCCGACTCTTCTGTTCAGATTTGAATCGAATTCTAATCGAGCCTGCGAAAAAGATGCTGAAGCTGAATGACTGGCCAGCCTCAGGTGGCTTTGCATGTGTGAGCGCATCCGGACACGGACTCACTGATTGCCCCCCTCCGATGCTGCCTGAGAATAAAGATGGCCTTCACATGAGCGCATCCTCACAAACCAAAGAGCTGAATCACCCTCTGAGTCACGCGGTGGGTGAGCCGGGCTCCATTTGTCCACACCTACCTGTCCGACTGGGCCTTTGAAATGCGACGCCGGAGAAGATCGTTTTGGGGAACAGTTTGTTTTCGCTCCATCGACCAAAAGATTCCTTCTTTTGGGACAAACTGTGAGGAGAAACCACTGTTGTCTAATGAAAGCAGTCTAATCGCATTAAGTGAAAACGCCTGTGTGGGTTATGTGTGTGACATGTCAAACTGCACCGGCCTGTCTAATCAGTCTGTTCTCCACCACCTCTGATCCTCCGGCCCGTTCCTCACCCGGTCTTGAGATTGTCGATGGCCTCCTCCACACCCTTCTGGTTGTTGCGGATCATGTACTGGTGCATGTTGGGGTAGTTGGAGCGGATGTTCTCCTCGGTGCTGCCGTTGGGCACGGTGCCGAAGCGCAGCGGCGGGTACTGCTCGGTGGGCTGCTGGAACTGCACGGGAAGAGCAGGTTGGGCAGAGATTAAAGCGAGGGGAAGTTTGAAAGGCAGCCGTGGAAAAAGATGATCCCCACTGCGGGGAGGAGCGCTGCAGAGAGGCAAAGCAGTCGCTTAAAAAGAGGGGGCGTCGGCGCCACCATTTTCTGAGGAGCTTATTACAACAGAGGAGGCTTTAAAGGGTTCGAGCAGCAGGATACACTTTAGGAGTTCTACTCAGACTGCTCTAAAAAATAAAGAGATGGCAGAAGAGATGAGGAAGAGTGTCACTCCATGCTAACACGACATAAAACAAAGCCGCTTTTGTTCGAAGAATTGATTTCTTTTTTTGAATGAACCATACCCGTTTCTTTACTTGAAACTACAAAGTGAATCGATTACTCTTTTACAGTTTTAAATTATGCACAAGCGCGTCCAGGTGGAGTCCAACCAAGGACTCCACATGGATTTTTTATAAATCTGTCACGCATCACTACATCCAGTATTCATAAATCTCTCCATCAATTGATGCCGACGTCCCGGGTCGATACCTTTTTATCCGACAGCCCTGACACTGTGTCAATGTACTCCTCTTGGATCATGAAGGCAGCCAGGTTGGCAGTGTAGGAGGCCAGGAAGATGACAGCAAAGAAGGCCCACACCAGCACCTGGAAGAGACGGTGGGTGGAGTCAGATCAAAATGAACATTTCCCCGTTGCTTTTTGACACCTTGTTGCAGTTTTCAGGCTTTAAAAATAAAGCTACGATCCCGGAAAACTCAGCATGCATCCGTACAATGTAAATCTAGTCATGGAAAGCTGACAAGATTATCAGTTAATTGTCAGTGTTTACAAGCTTACATATAAACTGACTGTAGCTATAGTAGCATTAGCTGGGACCTCCTCCAAAAAGAGCAAAACATTACTTAGTAGACGTTTCACACTGTATTTTTATAACAGTCATTTAATTTCTCACACGAACTAGCCTTAAATCAACACATTTTTTTCCAGTGCTTCCATGTGATTAAGAAAATGTTGCATCTACCCAACTGAAAAGGAAAAAAAAATGTAGTCCTCTATGTTCTGTCTGTTTTCTCCAATTCAGATTTTTATTTTTTTCCCGCTGCAGGTCTAATTCTGTTATTTTGCTTTAATAGCATGCACCTCCAGAGGCTACCGGATTGGCTCACTCAGGGTGAATAAAAACAAAGCACATACAAGGGCCCGTGGCAGCGATGGCAGATGGCAGAGATTGGGCTGATGCCCCGCCGCTGCTTGATTGGAGATTTGCCACATGTGTGGCTCTTTATGCGCTCACGCAAGAGAATGCAGTCGTCTCCTGACAGCGATCATTTTCCTTTATAGAGCTGAGCAACTACGAACATGATGAATAGATTGGATAATCCTCCACAGGCACATCTTCAAAAATCAAACGTATGGAGGGACAGCAATCGTCCAATCTTTACCTTATCTGGACTGGACTTTAACCTGTGGCTGCCTAGGAGAAAGAAAAATGAATGCACTTACTACCGATGCCTAGACCGCGTCCCCCTTAATGCTGCGGGGGCTGAGGGGGGGTGGGGGTGGAGGACCATTTGAAAGGTTGCTGAAGCACATGGCAGGAAAACACGTGTCTGCCGAGAAGTGATGAATTTATTTCAGCAAGAAGCTGCTCTGTTGACATTCAGCCAGGGAGCACGTGAGAGATGTGGATTAGTGTAAGAACTAAAATTCCACTTACAGTTGCTAATGAATGGGGCTATTTGCCTCTGCAGCACTCTGTGCTCGTGCCTTAACTAAATGAGCGTCATTTTCTTAATGACCAAATTGAAAAGTGCATTCTTCACCGTCCCGACTTAGGCCAAAGAAAGAAAAATAACTCTAATTGTCACATCGAAGTGATTTCTATGATTCGATGGATCCCAGATGAGCCTACCAACCTCTGGACTGTTATAAAAGCGATTCAAATGAAGGTTTAATATCAGTGATAAATGGCTGGCAATGATCCGTGCAAAGACAGTCGGTGATAACCCCGAGGTGGCTCGGAAAATCTGACAAAATTCATATGAGCACAGGACAGGCGGCTCCTCCAAAGCCAACGTCTCCTCAAAATGCTAAAGACGTCGGAATACATTTGTTTGTAATTGTCCCCCTTCATCACAACGTTTACTCACAGGGCACAGTGCAGCTGGAAGTTGTGCACAAGTTGCAGGATGAGTTTGGATAGCCGGAGGAAAATGTTGTAATATCAGAAATTTTCCCAGTAACTTGAATAGCTGGTTTGCCGTTGTCATTTCCACCTCCCTTATGCGAAAATGGTGGATAATCTGATGTAATCTAAGGACGAGTAGAGAGTGATTCCATACCAGGTATTCCTTTCCTTCACCTCATTGAAAGACAGCAGACTTTGGTTTTATTTGTTTGGTGGTCCAAAGGGGTTTGAAAATGTACACCTTTGAAAAAAATACAACACGTTTCACCAGTTTATCTTAATCCAGAGAGCGGAACAAACTGAATGAAAAAAAAGGAATATTTGAATTTACTCGCGCGCATGATCATGGGAGTTGTGCTGTAATGAGAATTAGCTGCACCTGTGTCAGCTCCTCATTACCAACATGTCTGCTTGTTTTACGACTGCCTTCATTGGAGCTGTTCCTAAAAGGCTACTCCGGACATTAGTGGAACGAGCTGGCTGGTTCTGTGCCTGTAAATCGGTGCAGTTTTAGGACCTCCCAACTTACCCGTCATAGTAAATTTGGGTCATAAAGTCTCCTGGCTGGATTTTTCTCTAATTTTAACTTGAATGATGAGATGGGGTTTGATGTGTAAAAAACAAAAAAAAAATGCAACAGGCCTGAAACTAAATCCAGGAAAAAGGGCATCGGCAACAAAAACCCTGGAAAATTATAATCTTCCCTTCTCTCTTCTGACCTTGTTTTAAAAAGCTTACTGAGCAGCTAATGAGCTCTTGAACTGATTGGGATTGTTGAGAAGCACTCAGACTTCCAAAACAAGGGTTTTCTGTAATTTTCATGGGAGGCAGCAAACCTCCGACAGATTTTCTTTTGCCGGTTTGGGCAAAAATGGATATCAGAGGTGGAAAAATGCGTCCTATTGCATCTTAAATCAGCAATAAGTAAACATGTAGATTAAGCGAGTAGATTGTCAACCGATCATTCAATCAGTCAGACCATCGGTTTTACCATGATTTTGCTGGTGGTTCCTCTGGGATTTTCCACAGGCACCGAGTTGTTGAAAACCAGCGCCCACAGCAGCCAGACGGACTTCCCAATGGTGAACTTTGACCCACCCGACTCTGAGGATGAGGAAGAAACAGAGAGCTCAGGGGTGCAGAAACATTTCAAGCATTTGCTCTGACTTTTTAATCCTAATTTAAAAAACAACAGAACAATAACGTAATTCTAGCCTCTACAGCATAATTCTGACATTTGTAAAAAATGAGTTTGATTTCCCTGATTGAATGCTCGCACTGGTGGACTTCTAGAAATAAGTTACCTTTAAAAAACATTTTCAGAACGTTTAGGATTTAAAGACTACTACTAATAAAGAAATAAATATTTTGAAGGGGTACTGGAAAAAAATTCTGTCTTTGGAACACAGGAGACTTCTAATGATAGTTGGGAAAAAAAATGGCTCTGCACAATTAATTGCAGGGAAAAACAGAAAAGAAGCATTTGCACATATGCTCACGCGCTCAAGTCCTATTAATGCTGAGGTTCTCTGCTTCTGGGGGTCTGAAACAAGCCCACAAGGCAATGGAGGACTGCTTTACATAAGCAGAGGAGTGATTTTGCACACAGTGCATGTCCCACAACAAGATATATACATATTTAATATTTCCATCAACTTTATAAGAAATCTCTAGTGCGGTATTTAAAATAATCCCAAATAGAAAAAGAAAAAAATTTCCTTTAGAGCTGAACAGCAGATTCTGAGCCTGGCACTTAAAAGCAGGTTGGCATTACACAAACCGTGTTTTGATTCTGATTCCTGTGTCCTTTTTGCCCCACATACTCAATTTACAGGGGTCTTCCACTCCGATGATCAGAAGACCTGAGCAAGAGTAATTTAGGGACTGACTGATGGTGGAAGATCAAACAGATGGGACTGAGACTGGAGAAGTTATTAAACTAGGCTGTTAACATCCAAGGGCTGTCGAGAGAGGGTTAGGCATAAAAACAAAAGAAGAAAAATCCAAATTACAGCTGAAAGTCTGTGGTTGGTATAACTCTTTCGAATGCACCGGATAATTTTAATTGTCTTTTTTTTTGGTCCAAATTAATGACAGAAGTAAGATCTAGAGGTCTGAGGACTCAACTAATGAGGACCAGAGCGATGTATTCACTTCAGTAAGTAAGGAATTATGAATTCCTTGTCAGTTCTCAGGCTTAATTCGACACATTCCAGCACAGAAGAAGAAACCCAGCTGATGATTATTGATAAAAACAAACCTACATGTCACTGTTATACAGTTTAAGTCCACCGGTGTCGGTTTATCATAAAGGGGTGAATCACATTTCCTGGATCATTGTGTAAAATGACTCTCTGTGCTCCAAAACAGGGGAAAAAAACATCCGTTGCACAGTTGGAACAAAACGATGAACTGACAAGTCCTGTAAAAAAAAAAAAAAAAACTCAAACTACCACCACACTGTCAGTGTTGGCTTCCCAGGATCTGAATAAGACACACTGTTGAGTGACTGTGTTCGCTCGAGCGCAATTAACAATAAAGGAATGCATAAGATGAATCGGGACACTTTACATTATGCGCGAGAACGCCCTCATCAAATCAGCCTGCCCCCTCCCCCGCCGTGGCTTACATAACTGACAAACTGACAAGTTGGTAATAATGTGGGGAGAGGAGCGGGGACGGTGGGCTGATTGGCGCGCCGGCGGCTGTGTGTCTTACTCTTGGCGCTCTGCAGGCTGCGGTTGTATCCCACGGGGCTGAAGAACTCGAAGATGAAGACGGTGACAGCCACCACTGACAGGCACATCACAAACATCATCACCCACACTGCGGGGCTGTAGGGCTCTGCAACGCAAACACACACGCAGCTCAACACGCCTGACAAAGTTTGGGAAGGCCATTAAACCCCGGTTTTCGTCAATGGAGCCGGCCGGGAAAAGGTGGGAGGCGTTCCCTTTGGTAAGTCAGAGTCATCAGAAACGACCTGCGGGCTGCTCGTTGTGAAATATCTTTGGACAAACACACAACATCAAGTGAACACTTAGGAAGACCTTCAAAGACAGGATGCAAACTTTCAGATTAATGAACATATAAGCTTTATTTATGCTGGCAGAAGAGGAAGGAAAGTGACAGAGTTACATTATTTCACCTTGTTTGTGAACCTGTTAGATTTGGCTTCTATGTGCTCACTTTAGAGTTGTACTTTATCACTGATTTCATGTAAATTACTCATAGTTTTATTAACTTTAGACTAAAAGTTTTGCACTGAACTAAGACTCTTTTCAGAGAAACCTTTGTCACGTGACATTTCTACACATCAGGCAAACCAAAAGCAAATAGTCCCTATAAGATTATTCTCTAATCACATAAAAATGTAAACCTCATTAATATAAACGTGGAGTTTAAAGTGAAGGAAAGTTCCCCTTTTTAGATTAGTCTGGTCTCATTTGACTGGAATTGACAAAAGGAGCTCATGAACTGAACAGACTAATTCCTGGATTGGCCGGATGCTGGGAAAGCTTTCCACCGTTGCCGGCTCCGGTTGAGTTTGTTTCTCAGATGAGAAACCTAGCTGGTTACAGCAAAAGTCTACACAGGTTACAGAGTAACTGTTACAGATCAATAAAACCTTCCTGTATTTCTGGCTTTGCACAAACGCCATCATCAGTGTGATGTAAAGACATCGTGTCTTTATTAGACCAGATTATAATGTTACTGATTGTTGTTTCAATGCCCTCCAGCTCCTCCATTTTCTCTCAAAGGGGTGCAGATTAAAGCTTTAAGGGGATGGGCTGATTCATGCATCGATAGGCAGATAAATAAGAGGGAAAAAGAACAACATCGACACGCCTTCAACTGTCTGAGAGGCTCTCACAGGTTGTTTTCATGTCACATGAATTGGAGATTTATCCAAAACCTGAAGTGCATTGATGATTTACACAGGTATAAGCCAGAATTTAAGCACCAGAATGGCGGAATTGTTTAGTTCCCCTTCTGTGTCTGTAATGAAATATCTCAGATGGTTAGATTTGGTTGTCATTTCTAAGCTGCACGACAAAACAGACAGAGTCTCAACAGCAACACTGAAAACCTCGGGGTGTAAAAAAGGAGGAAATTGCACTCTCCTTTCCTGTTCTGTCCGACGTAATGAATCCTAGTCCTGCTGAAGGCTGAGGAGACAACTAGACACTGCTGAGATTTGACAAATTAGAGGGGGATTTGCTGCAGAGACCTACAATGGCGGAACTGGCAGGTGCATGGCTAATCAACCTGTCCTGGAGAGATGGGCCCGAGTCGCTGCGCCGACTCATCAACACCTTCCTCCCTTTGTTTTACATCCAGGAGAGAAACACTAAATCACATTCGGATTTTTCACAGGCATACCAAAGAGCAACAAGCAACCTCGCACGGCAGGCTTTTAGCTGAGGCTTCCCTGCAGGGAAGAAGAGGGGGGGAGCAGGTGGAGGAGCACAAGATTCATCCATTAAACTTCTGCCAGGAAGAGCTGTGAGCCACCAAAGTGTGCCAATTTATGTTTTATGAAGCATTCCATTTCACTTTAATATCACTTAGCCTAATATGTTGTTTATTTCACGTGATTTTTTTCCGTCGAAATGTCTTTCCACCAGCTCATCATATGAGGTTTTTATGTTGTTAATGGTGTTGTGAACATGCTCGGTTTTGCATAGCTGCGTACAGTACGAGCGGGGAAACAAATGTTGTGTTATTGCTTATTTGCAATCTTTAACTAAAATGCAATTTGGGTCAATTTGTTCGCATATTCAGACAATAAGTGCCAGGATATCCATATTTGGTCAATATCCTCCAGCCCAGGTGATTGCCATAGCAACCCCATTCTAGACTAAGAGCAGCACAACATTAAAAATTATCAATATTTGAACTCAGAAAAAAGAAAACAGAATACTTAAAACACTGATTGATGTTTAAGACAAAACAAACCGTGCACACAGAGCAGATTCACGAGCGGTTTTAATTTGTGCAAAAGATTAAGATTTGGGGGTGAATGCCATGATCATTTATTTTGTGGCATGTTAGCATTGCCCAAGGGAAGTGATTCAAAAAGGATTTAAAAGAGTTGGTTCCAAAACAAATCAAAGCGTCTCTGCGTGAGACGACATCGACCTAAATGAATCCAATCTGTACACATCAGTTTAGCTTTGGTGGGGATACAGAAAGAGTGTTTTTGATTCCATGTGTTGTGTTTAACTGCTCACAGAAGACGTCAAACTTTGGGTTTTTTGCACGCGTCAACCCGGCTCTAAGTTAGTTTGCAGTTGTGCTTCATGGAGAGAACCCCTGCATGTTGCTTTTAATCCAACAGCACATCACATACCTGCGGATAAATCAAAGCTCCCTCGGTGGAGGAAGCCTGTAAATAATAACACCGTGCCCCGCAAACTCTGAAGGATGTGTGAGATTTATTTTCTCACACTCTGGTGGTTGAGGGGAGTCAAGCGGTTGTTTGTTGTTCTCAAACTGCTGTCAGCCTTGAGTTAAGATGAGGGGAGCGCTATTGTTTTATTTCCTGTATATCCATGTGTGGGAGAGAGTCGTTCATTTCCACTCTTATATTAAAGCGTGGGGGGGTTAAGTGAAGCCGGATGCTGTTCTTTAGAGATGCTCTGTGTAATATTTACACGTAGGAGAAGCCAGGTACAACCCCCGTCTGGCACCTGCTCACACCAGGTCACAGTTGGGGTTAATGAGGCTTCTGCGTCCTCCCTCAGGGGCATTTTGGAAGCCGTGGAAAGGTAAAGACAGGGCGATAGGTGTGTCTGCGTGTGTCTGCTGGGTCTGCCCACATGCTCCGAGCTGCTGCCGAGGGAGCTATGCAGATGAGTTTCATTTTCCTCTGCATGGAGGAGAAGCGATGAGTTGGGTGGTGGGTCCGGTACAAAAAGGAAGGTGACCACGGTCGGAGCCTTTGTGCAGCTTTGGCTGAACGCTGCTTTAAGGGGCAGAACAGCTCCAAACAGAACAGAGACGCAATTAAGTCGGTCACATCCCCGGCTGTGCTGGCATTAACATAATGGCGCCGTAATGGCTGCGGTCAGACTCAGGTATTCTCCAATTATAATGTTTAAATGGGTTTCATTGACGTTCACTTTTCCTTATGGAACCCATGACAGCCATAATGTCTTGAAATGGATCTCTGCTCCTCCCGTTGTAGAGATAACCCAGATAGAACCTGCGGGGTTTGTGGTTAAAATATTAGCAGTCTGTTGCACACCTGAAAGGCAAATTTACAAAAGACCCCTACTCTCAGCTCATTTTTAAAATGGGAAAGGTCGTTTTTTGTTGTTATTTTTATTGGCGCTGTCATTTTTTCCTGAGTTAAAAAAAGAAGGACCCACAGCTCATCCCATCTAATCGGCAATCAGTCGAAGTGAGGCTCAATTTTGATTGGTGGTCACTGAAAAGTCGCTTATACTCTCCTTAATTGACTTATAACACTGCTTGTCCCGCATTGTGTTTCTGTTGTTCATTTGCATTTGGTCTGTTTCGTATTCTTGGACCGCACTTTGCTTACTAACTTTTCAAAAAGTGCCTTAACTTAGCATACTATAATATCTCACCCTCCATTGCGGTCTAATCTTTTCCGCCTTGAGCTGCCGTGCAATAGCAGGAGAACAGATGCACTTCCTAATTAAAAACCCTTTTTTCAAAACACAAATCTATCAACCGAAGTTCTTCTCTGAGATCTGACAATTAAGTTTATAGAGCAACAAGTGGAATAGTGATGAAGGATGATTTAAATGCTGTTTGCAGAGGAGTTTGTAGAAACCCTAAATTAAAAGAGAGACATTTTATCTAATTAAAAAAAACACCAAAAAATCCCAGTTTGGTTTTGACAATGAAAATTTGAATAAGTTCATACAGAGAAATCGGTTTGGTGGGCTGTTCACTTTTTTAACCTCTGATGTCTCTTTCCATCTCTGAGCTTTATGTCAATTTGCCCCTTTTTAGATATCTTTAAGGGTTAGACCACAACAATTTAGTCGTATTCTTAAGAACACGACAGACCTCCCGTGCACCAAACCTCTTACATTCGGCACACTTTGGGCTGCGTTTAAACATCTGAACAAGGCAGTAAAGCTGCTCGCCTTTGTTATTGTGATTAGGTTAATGGGGAATCGTATCAGCTCCTTTGTGATCTGGGATTCATTTAATCTGTTGTTTGTCCTTATGTCACTCTGCGAAACGATAAAGACTCCAATTTACAAGGCAGCATTAAGAGTCAACATGCTTCTGGACGCATGATCTGAATTATTGCTGCAATAATGAATGAATTGACTCTGTGGAAAAGGGAACAAAAACCTTTAAATCTAACTCTGGTTTTGCTACATCAGTGATCTACAACCTGCTGTGAGATTATAGTATCTAAATTCTTCTGACTTTTACTATGCCCTCACTTGCACAACTTACAACAGCCAGACATTTTAGGTACATTAAATAAATAAACGTGATAATATTTGATACATAGAAAACCTGAAATATACGATGTTTTGTCCTTTTTTTAAATTTTCGGCTGGGTTTTAGGATGGCATCCAACACACAGATGCCAAAAACCAATGGCAGCAAACACTCCAAGCCTGAGATACGACCATCACCTGTTGCTTTGATCGCCGTCTAGTTTGTAGGTTAACTATCACTTTGGCTCGCTGGCTTTCTTCCACACTTTGCAGCAGATTGTGTTGTATTCCATGAGCTCAGCTATCAATCTTTAGGCGGCCACACACGCCTGACTACGACACCAGAGAAGAGATAAGCGTGTTCCTCCCCGGGGAGACGTCATATTTTCGTCTGATTTGCGGTGAAATGGATATCGACTGAATGAATATGACATGATTCATCCCAGAGGGAGAGTGCATCGCTGCAGTTTGTTGGCTTGCTGGGCGCTCTTGAGCCACTGCCTCAGCAGATGGCTGCAGAGCAGATTTTACTCTCCGCAGCATACTTTTTAGAAGATGCGCAGCTTTTTTGGCGAGCACGCTGAAGGACTTCGGCTTCCTGAACAAGCCTGCTCTCTGCCTCCTGCTGCTCATTTCCCCAGGTTGGTGAATGATGAAGGAAATTAGTGGCCGGCTGATGGGGATAAATCCTCTGCCGACTGCTTGATAGTTTTCATTTCCTAATTTTTACCGTGCCATAAGTCAAAATGAGTTCTATTCTAATATAGCAGCGTATGACAGACTTATTGTCCTGTGATTTGAGGTCCCTATATTGTGGAAATTGACCAAAGCTGAAATCACAGAGTCCTAAGAAGCTTCTGCTGAAGTGTGCCCTGCTGAGCACTGCTTCTTTTTAAGTGTGGAGCTCCTACCTCTAAATTGCTGGTGTGAGTGACATAGTACAGTCGGCCTCTCTCCTCACTTGCTCATTTTTTACCTCTCGTTTTTTTTTATCTTTGGCAGTTTTTGCGGCCATCTTTATTTATGAAGTGAAACAAAGTAGACTTTGAAATAAAAAAATTAAAAAATCTTATGGTCCTTTCAAGGTCTTAAAATGAGACAAATACAGAGGATGTTCATTTTCTTCCTGGAGACAATCTTGATAAGAGTTGTGAAATCTAAATTTACCTGGCTTTAATGTTCTGATAAAAGTACCAGAATTAGAGGACATATTAAGAGGGATTAACTTTATCTAATTCACGATCTATTGTTACATATAAAAAGAGTTTTCACTGGTTAATCATTAAAAAGAATGGACAGAAGTTCCTTTTACCAACATTTGCATGTGAAGAACAAATGCTGCTCTTTTTCTGACAGTTCGCATCTTCGTGAAGAGACTTTCAAACTGGTGTGAAGTCCCAGTTATGGTCCCAGACTGGATCCTGCACGAATGCTCAGTGAACTTGAGCCTAACAAAAGTCTTTTCTTATGCAGAACAATAGTGCAACACTTCCCATCTCTTTATGAAGTGCATTAAACACAACAGGAGCGTTTTCGACCCAGAAAAAAAAGAGGGATTCAAAGATGAATTCGGACGAGAATCTTCATATTTCTTTCATGCATTTGCCCAAAGCAAATGAGAATATTTTAGTGTATGCTACTGTTCTAAACGTTCTACATTATTAAAAATGTCTCTGGGTTATCTGACCCGTTAGATATTTCAGGAACACTAAAAACATTTTTTTTAAAACAAAACAATAAGAACAACACATAATACTGTTTTAATTTGAAGACAAGTTCCTTTGTTTTTCTGTGGGGATGACAAAGATTTTTGGAGGATGACCTCATTCTGGTGTTGTTTCTTTTCACATCTATATTCTAAGATTCAAGGAAGATTTTCCTAAAAAAAAAGACCTCTCCATCTCAAGACATCCAAAGTCTCTTTTCCTTATTTTGAGGTTCTTGGTACATTTTTACTAATCACATGCACAAAAGATAGATAGATAGATAGATAGATAGATAGATAGATAGATAGATAGATAGATAGATAGATAGATAGATAGATAGATAGATAGATCGTTTTCGATAAATCACATTGAAATGTTAAGCAAGTGCATTTTTGAAGTAGAGTTTAGTTTCTTCAAAACTAATATTTCTTTTCCCTCAAACGACAGATGACAGCATGCGTCCAGTTGGTAAATTGAAAGGGAATTAATAGGCAGTTTGGAACGAGCTCTCGTCAAAGCTCTCAGGAATAATTCCCTCTTGCCTCCTTCCTTTGCTTTTGATGTCTACCATGCAGCTAATTACGTTCCATGGAAATTGCCTTGTTTTCTATTGTTTTGATACCGCTTTCCCTGGATTACTTCAGCTCAAACACCTCGGACAAAAAGGAAAAGAAAAACCGTTCCCTCCTCGTGTGATGCACTTTTTTTTATCACTAGATTGATTTTTCCCCCCGTTGCCCTCAATCAGTGTTTCCGTTTGCTCCTCCCGCTCCCTCTCTCTGCTCCGGCTCACTCCTTTATTTTCTCCCTGCAACTCGTCCGCGCACAAAATGTATTCACAGTACCTTTGCTAATGCAGTCAAATCCACCATATGGAGTCACTGTTGGCCCTGTGGCCCAGCAGATAGAAGATAAATGGCCTTGGGAGCCCTCCACCTCTGTCCAGCCATGACGTGTTTCAAATAGTCTCCTAAATCTCTACTGACAGATGGATAAATGTACTAGTGCAGCTGTGAAAGTATGAATTAGATCCCTTAAGGCGTAAATGGAAAAGATCAGGCCTGTGTGGAGGGGAGTCATCTCTTGGTCAGGACTTATTTCAAATCCCGGGCCTTGAAGATGGAAGTTATTACAGAGGGGGAGAAAAAAGTGCTGAAAATGTTCAATGAGCCTTTATTACAGGCTGAGTTTTCAGGTTCGAGGGTGTTTTTCTGTCTCGCGTTGCGAGTGAAAAATAAGATGACTAGCGGTAAAAGAACTGCGCCGCGTTTTTCTGCATTCCTGTAGATGTGGAGATTAATACCACGTTCCCATTCTAATTATGGTGAGTGCTTTGCAGTTGAGAGATTTGCGTAACCCTTTGTTTTACTCAGCAACAAACGCCGCATACTGGAGCAGGCTGTGTGCGGAATTCTCCCGAGCAAAGCTTCAGCACAGATGGGGGGTTTAAAGAGTAATCGCCTGAGACGCTGCTCTGTGTTAACAAGTCAGTTTTGCTACAGGGTATGGTTTCATCCAGCCTATGCAACGCGCACGCACAGAAGCATGCCAACCAGTCGCCGTGCAGATTACATCTGAGAACATCTGAAAGGGCTCCTTCGGTTCCTGCGCTCCCTATGCAATACACTAGCATTGCATCAAGACAAGATCTCTCCTCTTTCCCCGTGCGCAAAGCCCTCTCTTATCCTTCCTCTTTTATTCTTTCCGCTGCCCTCTGACCTCAGCTTTGTCTTTTTCTCATCCCTTCATGCTTAGAAACATACGAAATTAATCAGGAAAAACTGGAAGTACAGAGGCGCTCTCTGAGGTGAACCCGGCTCATTAAGGTACAGAGAACTTCTATGTGAAAGCGCCACTAACAGCTCAGCAACGAGAACTTAAAAAAGAAGCAAGGAAGGGAGGTTTTTAACAGAAGCGTCGCTAATCAACCTGTAGCGCACACATAACCACAGGGAAGCAATATGAAAATATTCAGTTATCTTCAGTTAAAGGATTACATCCTAAATTTAAATGGCCGTGTAAAAATAAACCAGATCCCACTTCCTAGAAGTTTAGCAGACTTGTGAGTGATTTTTTGACAGGAAACATACTAATCTTGAGCTGCAATTTCCCATATGCATCTTTTGGTGATAAGTTTCTGGATCACAACACATTAAAGCATCAGACATTGAGACATGCCCATTTTATGCAACAGAAAAGCCCCTCAGAGTCATGCTTTGCTTGAACCCCACCGCAATGGGATGGGACGTCCTCACCCCAACCACGTCTTACCTAAACTACACAAGTAGATTCAAAATATTAACAAGTCACACAAAACCTCTGTGGAAATTATTACCATGTAATAAACCTTTCTGCTCACACTCGCTTTCAGGAGCACCTAAATCACTTTGTCCCAGTTACACATAGGCTGCCCACCACCACCAGCCTGAGCAAATTCACCTGACCTATTTATGGTTAAGTGCCCTTAATGGAATAACATCTATGTAAAAATTAGCAGGAATCTAAGCTTTCCAGATTAATCACTCTATTAACTACTCATGCCAAAACCAGCTAACAGTGAACAGGCATTAAAGAGGATAATGTTGTTGTTGTTTTTTTATTAGTATATCCATTTTATGATTCTTTACATTTTGGTGGCTGAGTGGTACTTCATGCCACTTGATTTCACAGGACATGTTTTACAGTCTCATTCATTCGTTTTAAAGCTTTGGCTTTTTCAGATAGAAGTTTTCACAGAAAATACAATCCATTTAAATGAAACTAATTTGTAGGAAAAACAATTCTGTGCGCAGACGCTGATGTTCACTATGATAAAATCTCCTCTGTTGTAGTTCTTTTTTTTTCCGTTTTATGCCCAGTTCCAGAGTAAATCCTTTTCTTTGTGTAAACACTTGGGCTATAAAGTGGATTTAGAGAGATTTGCTGGAGCAGCAGTAATAAGACCAGGTCAATACTTTGTGAGATCCGGCTCTCATGTTACTGCTCTATAACTACTGCTGTTACATGAGCACCGGTCAACCAGTATTCCCTGTCTTTCTTTTTCATAAAACATTTTCCACATGTTCCTCAGCATCTTGACATATAAAAAACAAAAAACTGAGACCAAAACGGCAAAAGATTAAATCCTCTTCTACTAAATTATTGAGGTCGGTGACGATTCAGACAAGTCTAAACACATATATACACGTTTGTATTAATTCCTAAATCCAAAAACCTGCTTTTTAGATCAATCAGATTAATAATGAACAAAGAGAGAAAAGATCCACCTCAAACACTGGCTGTGTATCAACCGATTTCAATGGTTTTCCTTATGTTTGGAGAGATGAATTCGTCCGAGGGGGCTCTGAAAATACTTCTAATACTCCAGGTTTGAAGATAAAACACACACTTTTTAGTTTTGGGCAAATGTTGGACTCATCAAAAATGGGCACGTGAAAACATCTGGAGTTAAACTCATTAAGAGTGTATTAAAAGAAGCACCAGAGAGGCCTCTTACCGAGGAAAGCAGAAGGTGACACGGTGCCATTACTTCGAGACACCATGACGCTGATTCCAGTCTCCACGAACGGGACGGAGAACTCCACGACCTCTGACCTCTCCTCGTTGATGGTGAGAGATCCTATGGCCATGTCAGCCCTGTTGGACACCACCTGGAAAGCGGGAGATTGAATTAAAGCAAAATCCTGGAGCTAACACATCATTCTCACAGCTTGAAGTAGTTTCGCTCCTCATCAAAAATGCGTTTCCCAAAAGGCCGCATGGTCACAGTCCAGCATGAAGTTCCACCTCCGGTCATCTCTGGCAGCAGCGGCTGCGGCTCAGGCGGTCAGCAGGTGGAGAAGAAAGGGGGATTCGGTGCTCCACCATGTTTAACCTGGCAGGAAACCGAGGTTACGGGAAAGCAGTGGAGGGAGTGGAGGAGTTAAAGGAGCTGGCGCCTGACCGCAGGTTCATTATTCTGCCCTGGCCCGGCCCCAGGAGTCTGGAGGAGAGCGATGGCTCCGCAGGCTCACAGCAGGCACTGATGTGATGCCTTAAACCGGGGTCTCAAAGTCCCTGCGTTCTTCTCTTTCTCTTTGTTCTTCGAACGTTTTCGGTGTTCGGTGAAAGCGGCCGTGTTTCGAAAAATAAAACACATTGGCTGAAAATATGTGAGGAGTAAAATGCCTTCAGAATGTGGGTAAATATATATTTTTCAATGCCTTCAAAACGAGCTAGAATAAAGTATTTTTAACCTCTGCTTTTTCAGTGATCAGAGCTTCACAACTTCTTAAGCTTTTTCCATTGAATTGCAGTTGGTTTTCTGAATATTTCCAATCATGACTGTTAATATTGAGCTGTTCTGTGCACGTGGCCTCTGTGATGCCTGTAATTAGCCTGCAATGCCTCAGACAGAGAACCCCCGCGGCCTTCCTTCCTGACCACTTATTTGATTCAAATCCTTCTTTTCCGGTATGAGAGAAACTTATCTTTATCCAAACTGTTTTCGTACATCATTTCGCATCACATTTGGGGCCAGCAGATGTGAGTCATCAGGTAACCAGAGGTGGACCCTAGCAGGAACTGACATTTGAGGAGACTTTGAAGTTATTATTTCCGACCCTGGTTAAGACTGACTAAGCTCTGTGAATAAATCAAAAATATAATTATGGATGTGGGTTATCGGGCCTGGTGGTCCTGGTTCACTCATCTGGGGGAATGATTGTTAAAAGTTAAGCTGGAGTTTAGAAATAGGATTTGGGGTATGGGAGGTTCAGTCTGCATGTTCCGTTCAAAGGCTGCTCCCTAACTTTGCACCATTTTCACCTGTTTTAACGCTCCTCATTTAATGTCGCAGCCCAGACGGCTGTGGCACCAAGTGTTGTTGGTTGGGCCTGACCAAATACAGTTTTCTTTCCCTTTAACAAATGTTTAAATGCATGCACTTAAAAGTAGCAAAACAAAAAAGTGAACGACTTCCCTGAACTAATTAACAGCTGAAACCAAATAAAAAAAAAAACAGGAAGGTGGAACGACATTGACACATAAGAATCTATTTTTTATGTCTTTCATTGCATAGACTCTGTGTATTTCCTCATTTTGACTAATTTCTTCTGATATACACACCTATATTTACCTCCAATTTAAAATCATAGCCAGACAGCCAAATTCTGGGTAAATGACTGTTTTTGTGAAAAAATAAATAAATAAATAAAAAAAATACAAAATAGCTTCCCAGTCGGAAAGAGCTGTCTGCATTGTGAGTAAAAGATGTTGGAAATTACTTCTTGATTGGGAGGCATTCATGCAAAAAGGACAAAAAGTGCAAGGTTGAAAGAGATTTTTTTTAAAAGCTGAAATTTTCCGTTCAAGTGTGGGCTTTCAGTGTGGAGACACAGGGGTCTGTTGAAGGATGAGGGCTGCATTATCATGAACACAATCTAGCTTTGATTAACAGGATTAACAGAATATATGTTGTCGCTATAGGAAACCAATATTTTATCCGCCACTTCAATGGATGATGGATGGGTCCTGTTCAGTTTTCTTCAGAGGAATGTAAATATGTGATTCTTTGCTTTTGACACAAATATCTGATCTGAATTGGGCTCAATGAGAAGAAACATGCTCTGGAAAACATGAACTCAGTCAGCCTGGTAATCAGTTGAGTTGCATTAGTTCCATCTCTGCTCGTCAAGATCAATCAATCTGTGGCTATTATTCCATTTATCTAAACTTGGTCATTTCAGCCGTCCCGATGCAGAAAGGTCTGAAAGCAACACCTGGGACGCTTTTCATCCGGAAGTGCTTCACTGCTGGAAAGACATCCCACCGGGTACAAAAACCATTTCCCCGCGATGTCTCACTGTCGAGGCTGAGGAAACATTAAGGATGTCGGAAATTACTGCCTGATTGGGAAGCATCCGTGTGGGAAGGACGAAAAAGAACGAGGCTCAGAGACACTGTGAGAAACGGCAGAAAATGTCTGATCAAACGGAGGTTTTTGCAGAAAGCACAAGGCCGCTGCAGTCCAGACGCAATCAGGCGCACGATGTGAAAGGCCCGATTTATCTTTTTTTTTTCTCGTATCCATTTCTTTTTTTTTAAAACGTGTGATTTGAGTAATGTAGCAGGAAACAACCAGCGACGGCGCGCTGAGTTTCCACACACACTCAGCTGCCCCTGTGCTCATGTGTTTGTCTGACACTATAATTAAGCTGCTTAATGAGTTGCAGGGAGACGCTGGACGGGAGGCAGCTGGAGATGTGGAGTGAAAGACAAAAAGGCAGATTAGCCACCTGCATATCTGAAGCCTGTTGCAGAGCATGGGAACAGCACTGTTGGCAAATTGAGTCAGCGTTGAATGATGTAAACATTCCCACTCAAACGGGCTTTGCAAAGACATCTAAATATCCTGCTCCTATGTATGATTTCACCCCCAGTTATGGATGTAGATGACACTATTGTCTGCTTGTTTCCTCTCAGGATACAATTTTCCTGAAGTATTCATCGTAAATGCACACACAGAAAAATACCCAATACTGAAACCAAGCTTCAGAAGCTTTAACATATGTCCATGGAACAAGAAAAGATTCAAACTGGTCCTCACAGAGATGGAAACCTAACCATAACCTCGCAGACACAAACATGAAATAATTGATCATTTGCATCCCATGTGTAACTCTATGTTAAATAACCTCCATTATTACAGTTACCAGAGGGGTACTGGCATGGTGGAAATACGAGAGCATCTGCCAACACACACACACAGTCATGTAGGAACACATGTTCGTGTTTGTGTTGGATTCTGCTGCCCTTAGCTGCTCCAGCACTCATTTTCTTAACAGCCTCCATCCACAGTTGCTCCGTTGTTTCTGATTAGATTCCAGTTTACTCATAAAGGATTTCCAGCAGAATAAAAAAAAACCTCTCTGACCAAACCCCTTTTTCATAACACAGATCATTATAGGCCAAACACAGCTTCATAATACGATGGTGCTATTTGAGAAAAACAAGAAAACAACATACTGGTCACTCAACACAAAATTTTATGTTTTGGCATTTTCATGGTCAAAACTATTAGATGGAGGGAAAACGGGGAACTTTTGGGAGAAAGAAATGTATGGTTTAATTTCATGGTTAAAATGAAATATTATTCTTTTCAGTTTGAAGATGTTTTTTCTTTTAATTCAACAAGACTTTTCCGTTCATTTGGAATCTGTGAAAAAAATTTAAACCCAGCACACAAAACTGCTATTGCGAGTCGTACATTCTTAGAAGAATTTGTCCTGCGATCTGTTCGGGCTCCCGGGTAAAGTGTTTGTCAGCTAACCTGCAAGTTCATGCTCACATAACACGTACCTTTTACTCCCTGCGTGGGTGATTTTATGAAAAAAATAAAACTAAAACTAAAAGTCTTATCAATACCGAGATAAAATTGCATTCTGGCAGTGAGACCCTCACCTCTCCCACCATGCCGTTCCATTCCCCATCAATATTCTTGCCATGTCGTCCATTTGTCACCAGGTACAGGTCGTAGGTGAAGCCCACAATCTTTGCCAGGCGCTTTAGGACGTCGATGCAGAAGCCTTTGCAGCAGTGCTTCATGGGCCCGGTGCTATCCACCACCAAACTGTGGAGAGGATGGGGAAAAACATGGGTCAGGTCGAAAAAAATCCCGGACGCTTTGATCAGTCTGAGATGCCTCGCGTTCAAAGGAATTCAAGGACAAGTTGAGTGACAATCTTGGGAGCATGAGAACAGAAAATGACCGGCCCCCTGGGGTGGGAGATGAAGATATGTTCATTATGAATTCATGCCGAGGGACAGAGTGGAGTGATGTTGACAGTTTTGACTGCTGGTTTGTAGTTGTAGAACAGGTGCATTCCTATGACATTCAACTAACAACATCCTGCTCATCGACCATCACATGCAGGTTACTGGTTCATCTTACGCTGAACTGGATAGAATAGGAGTTTTCTGTTAAGTTACCGGCTCCACTGTACTTTTTCTCCACGCCAAATCAGTAGGCGGCATCTGTTTGTGTGTCTTGCCCTAGGACGTTTATTCTTTCTACTGTCCTTCATCAATCTGATTATCTGTCAACTCCCATTTGTTGACCTAACATACTGGATGACCGCCACTTCTGTGGCTGTTTTGAAGGGCAGGAGCTTTAAGTTAACGCTCGAAGAAGATACGAGTCATCTCCTGGGTGCGAGTACGAGTGGTCTGTGTTTGAAAGCTCGTAGATTCGAGCCCTGATTTTTTGTCTATAAGGAAAAAGAAGGAGAAGCTCGTATGACATGTTCTCAACGGTTGGGGTGTTATTTTCAGGAAGCAATATTCAGCTGCGAACCCCCAGCTAGCCTGTGATGAATATCAGTTGCAGCTTGTCAATGGTGGCAGACAGTAATCAAACAGACAATAGATCATGTAGAATGTCCATTAGCTTATTTAGCATTTTGCGTAAATACTCATCAACGCCACTCTTGTGGTGTGATCAGCAGAAACCGAAAGTCAATAGTCAGCGAGCCACATGTAATACTTTTTATCTCCTTCCTCGTTTGAAGGCACGCTTAACTGTCCCACCTCCTTGAAAGTGGAAAAACAAATGCGCTTTCTTTTAACTGCATTTTACACCTTACAAGTTTTCAGTCTATTTTTGTTTTTGGGATATTTCTCTCACTCTGAGCCAAACTGAGCAACTATATTAGACTCCTGATGTGTTTTGAAAGGTTGTGTGAGTGACACTGGCATTTGCTTTCATAGCCATAATGGGCACTTTGGCTCTTGATAAAAGCCGAGAAAAAAAGAAAATTGTTATCAACTGATGATTTACCCAACAGCAAAAGCTGCTCTAATGACAAGCACTAAAAAGGCAATTTTCTTATGAGAAGAAAAGGCATTTAACTTAACAGTGAATGTTAAGAAGAAATTCGATTTCCATTGACCCAGTGCACACTAAAGAGAAAATCTGGAGTGAAATAATTTGAAAGACAGCCTGTAAGATATGTCTCATATGTCTATCAGAGCAGAATATCAATATCAGCCATCTAATTGGCTGTTTAATTAAATATAATGTAAGCCATCTTAATGACGGCTCTGTGTCTACAAAGGAGCTGGTTTTGTAATACCTGGAGTTGACAGGCATGCGGCAGGGGACAGAGTCTCGGATGCAGGAGCTGGTCCCGGGATCAGCAGGCTCCACGATGACAAAGGGCCGCTCTTCCAGAGTGACAACTCGGAGGTGCTGGGAGTCATCGAGGGGCTTCAAAAATGAGCCATAACGAGACCAGGGGTGGTAACGGAGGCGCAGGTGTCCATTCTCCCACCAGCCAACCTAAAGAAAAACAGGTTGTGGGTAAGAATTCCTTAGTGTCGGTGTGTTTCGAATATTTGGTTCTCTCTAATTGCTGCCTCAATAGTCACATTTACAAAATTGTTTTTAACCCTTTGGTGCATTTTGTGTGCCTTTTGTTTATGCCTTAAGAAAATCCCGACAGAAATGATCAGAATTTGTGCATGAAAGGGTTAATATGCAGCTAATTCATCTGATATTTCAATCAGAATTATTTTAGAAGAGCAGATTAAAGATTTTTGGATGTCGAATAGCAGTTTAAAGTCTAAAAGCATTCTAAATGCAAACTGTGCATCTGTGGTAATTTCACCTATTTTGCATTGCAAGTTAAAAATCTGATTATATTTGACTGTAGAACTTAAAAGAGACAGTATTACATCACTGAAATAGATAAACAAGGTAATCTTTCAGCAAAATGATCACATAGAGTGTTCTAAATTAAACTAAAGACATTATTTGTGGAATAAGGTGGTTTCTGCTTCTGATTCATTATAAGTGGAATGATTGTATTAATTATGACCCATGAGTATAGTTCCCCCGATGGTAAAAATTATACTCGAAGCTGGATATATGATGCTCTGTTCTCAGATACTAACTCTGGGCTACTGTTTGTAAAAAAAAGAACAGGGAATATCTAACTGCCAAGGACGCAAAGTCAGTCCCAAAACATGTCCCCCCGTGATCCTAAAACAAGTGGAAAAACAGAACTCTCAAATGTGAAATAGAACTTCCAAGCAACAGCATTTTTTCCTCCTAACATTTTATCCCAAACAAACTTACATTTACTTCACATTCCATTCATGATGTTCTCTAAATGGTTTTTACTTTAAGCTGATCTGGACTCTCAGAGGTCCATTGGTCCACTGATTGGATGATCAATTCTTTGGAAATAGAATCAATATACTGACGTCTGTAGTTTATTAGAGATCCGTTGGTTACTCTTGCTTTAAGGTCTATTTTCACTTACTTTGTTCTCATTGACGTTGGTCAGGCTTTCATGATGTTGGGAACCAGAAAAAAAAGCCTCTTTCATGACAAAATAGCTCAAATCTTATCAAGTTCTTTTTTTAACATTACAGCACTACATTTCATCTGATTTCCTGTTGAGTCGTCACATGTTTAGTCTACAGGCATGAAAACGGACGTCCACTAACAAACAAATCCACAGATTAAACTCATAATAATAACTTGTGATAAACCATTAATAGTCTAGAGAACTCCTAATTAAAAAAATGTAAAAACTTGCACAACGTTCAATGATAAATAAAATAAGGACAAGAAACCAATGTTTCAAATACCAAAAATAGATCCAAATACAGTTTTTAAAAAAAAACAATGCTTCAAGTTATTCATTTTTTATTAATGCAGGCCTTAAAAATACATGATTAACTTACTGCTCCTGGGAAAAAATTCAATGCTAATTGTCAAACATGGCAGGCATTAATTAAGGCAGGGTGTTCAAATCAAAAGCATGTATTCAAAAGATTGTAAAGTCATGCACAAGCCTGCTAATGGTGCACTGAGATGAATCAGGGGCTGTTTAAGTTGGGGAACATCTAACACCAGCAGAAAGTGGACCTCGAGGAGCAGATTGAACACCCCTGGGTGAAGGAGACAGCTTAAAGAGGGTGCCAACTGTTATGCTTTTATCTATTAAAAGCAGATACCATTTTCAACTTCATGCAATTATCTAAACCAGTCTAACAAACCGTTGCCGGGTTCATTAGCTATTAAGCATTTGCTTTTTCAATAGTGGTAAAGCTATATTGGTTTCACTCATTATTCCCGTATTAACTTTGACAGCTGTGAGTCAGAGTCAGCTTTGATTAGATAAAGAGCCTCAAAGGGCGGCTCCTCGTCGAGGCCCGTACGGTCGACCTTAGCAAGGCTCCGCGAGCGTCTGACTCAGCTAAGGCTGGATGTTTGCAAAGATGAGCAAAAGTTCATGAAGCCCAGAGCATTGCTGTCTTTACATAAATGGGACGGGTTAGAAATTCAAGGTGGGACAAGCTGAGGATTTATTCCAAAGCCTGTGAAAAAAAAAAAAATACTGCACTCAACAATTTTCTCATTAGCGTTTTGAGAAAATCCTGTCTGTGCTCCCACTTTACCCGCGGAAAGATGGGAAAAGATCAGCCCTCCATCTATGACGTCTGATCTCTTCCCTGTGTAAATGCTCATTGATCAGCGTAGTTTCCATTGTCTTCCATCATCCAGTGGCAAATGAACTCAACAAAACATGATCAAATGATTCAAATCTTGCTGTGAAAAAGCCTTTCTCTTGTTTTTTTTAGCTGATGTTTTCCGCTTGCGCTAGAGATAATAAGTTCGAAGCAGCCCTTTACAGGAGGATAAGAAACTCACAGGCCCTTTCTCGTGAGAACTTCTTTCTGAATCACTGATCAATAAAAACAAAAACTACCATGTAGATGCGGCCATTCTTTGAGGTTGTAAAAGTTTTACTGCGGCTTTAAATTCAGCTAAATGGAATTCTGCTGTTGTGTGTGTTTATGTGTGTGTGTGAGTGAGCTGCGGGATTTCAGCTCTTCGGTCACATTGATTAAAAAGGTAGATGCTCTCCTTTCCTATTTGCTTATCGACCCACCTGATGCCGTCTGGTTTATGCTTCAGCTCAGAACAAAACAGCTGATATGACTTTCTGCCATTTGTTTCACTGGGGCTAAAAGGCAGGACGTGCTCTGGAGAGTCGATGATGGATTCAAACAGAAACATGTGAACGCTACACAGAAAGACTCAGGGTGGGATTTGAACAAGGACCTCTATGGCAGTGAAACCTAAGTTAAAAAAATAGTTTGAAAAAAGGATGATTAAATGTTGAGAAGAGGAATATCAATTTAATTTGATTATGTCTATTTAGCTTCATGTTCTCTGGCGAGACTCAGTATCACTCTCATAGGACACTAGTTTCAATCATACCAGTTAAAAAAATTAATTACAATTATTCCTGTCCCACATGGAAAAAATAGGAAAAATTTATAAAAAATCACTAGTCATATGGCAATATCTTACATTTGTACACTTAAAGGGGACTAAATCCAAACAAAAGTTTATATCTGAGTGGAACTTTTCCATTTTCATTTGCATCTTTTAGGGCTCTCGATGAGCCACATTGCTTTTAAATCACACGGATCTCATGCTGTTACTACGATTCAACCCATGAATCGGTTAGCCTGTTTATCAGAATGGTTTTAGATGGTACTGTAGAATATCAAGGTTCCACTTTGGGAGAAATCTACCAATCCATGAGCAAAATTAGGTTTGTTTATTTGAACTTTTTTCAAATTTTCCTCATTTTAAGTGAGAGCAAACGTCCGCGACTAGTCCTCCAGATGAAGTAGTGGCTCCTGGCCACATTCCTCTGTGCTCGCATGCTGCTGACAGATTAGGAGAGCGCCAGACAGGCAGAGGTCAGAACGGGTGCAGCGAGCAGACCAAACACTTCAGCAGCACTTACACACTGCTGGCTGATTATTACTCCAAGGTTAGACACTCTAAATGCTCTGATTTCTAGTGTTTACAACCATCCGGGCACTCGGCGGCCGCAGCTTCCAAAAAGTCTGCCTTTTTCTGGATTTGAGTCTTTCAAATTTTAAGCCTTGGAGTCTATGATGGGTGTCATTTGTACTTCCTCAGCCACTTTAAGGTTTTTATTTTCCTGAGGAAAAGTTCATTCTGTAATAGCTGAGTTTTTTTTTTTTTTTTCATTAATTGCTTGTCCCCATTTGGCTTTTTGTCCCCAAATAAAGTTTCCATGCAGTGTAGTTCAGTAGTCTCTGCATCTTGTGCTTTAATATTTGATATGAAATTGTTTGACTTAAAACACATTAATAAAATTCACGATTTCCTTTCAAAGCCCAAACATGTTGCCCCTGCCTGTTGGCAGTGTCCCCTTTCCTTTTTTTTCTACTCAAAGTTAATTCAAGGTTTGATGCAGTTTACATAAAATTCACACGCTTCCGTTAAATGATCACACACTTTTACATTTTAACTGTGAATATTTAGACTGCTTTGTTAAGATTGAGGAGTGGGACTTTTTTCTATGCTGAGATAAGAATAACTGGAGAGATATTAAATATTCTAAAACTCCAAGGTGTACATTCTATGTGAAACTATTGGATTATAGTGGAGATTTCAACTAGAGTAAACATAATTTGTTTTGTGAAAGCTGTCAGTTGTACCGACGGCTGTGGTGAGTTCGTCTCCATCCACTGTATCTTTGCCAGTCCCACAAAGCACAAATTATTGACCTATCTCCCCTGCCTGCATCTCAGCCAAAAAAGTCAATAGATGAAATGCATCAGCAAAAGGCAGGGAATGGCGCTACATTTCTCAGATGCTGTCCTTTGTGCAGCCTCTACAACATGTTGAGTCTTTGTTCACCTGGAAAGTTAAAGGCTGCCAGGCTGGAAGTGGTGGACCCGACAACCCCGGAAAAACAGAGAGGCATTCAACCAAAAAACAAAGAACTTGAATTAAATAGCTAGTATATTTTAAAAAATAAACACGAATGACCCTCCTTCAGCAATCACTTCAAGAGACAGCTCTCTTACTTTTAAGTGCGGCGGATTTTTCTGAAACTATTTATATTTCTCTTTCTCTGAGTCTTTCTCAAGTTTGTTTTGCAAGACTGAGGTCACTTTTGGAGCAAGGCTCCTGAACGACTCTGAAAAAAGACCATAAAACAACAGGAAAAAGTTTTCCATGTCAACTAAAATATTCAGCACTGGTGGAAATAAAAAACGTAAAAATGCTGTTCCGAAAGACAAAAATCTGCCGTTTGAGTGGATGCATGAAGAAAGCTAAAATATACACAAAAGTTGAATTTCCTGCAGCATATTTTGAGCGAAACAATCAGGGCTGAACTGTGTCATTAGAGAACACAAAATCAAATATAATCAATTTTTTAGATTTGGTAGTCATCTGCATGTAGCCCCTGAGGCAGCAGGCATTAGTTATTCATGGTGGTAGATTTGAACGAAAATGCAAGGGCAAAATATGACCAGACCCACAATCTGATATCTCTGGATAAACCCAGAGAAAGCAGATAGAGGCACTGCATCACATACTGTATCATGGCCAGTTTGGGTCCCAGTTGAAATCTCTGAGCTAACACCGCCGTCTCAGCAAACAGAGAAAAACATTCATATCGCAGAGTTCTGAGGCTCAGTTCCAGTCAGATGGTTTTAATATGAGTCTAAGAGGATTTTTGAACATCTCATTCCAAAACTGGGACCAGAGGTTTCGGACCACGACTTGTAGCTGCGGTCCTCAAATCGGTGCTAGGGCGGGTCTGTGGGGGACTCAGATTCCAGCTGCTGCTAAGCGTGCCAAGCCCTTAAAGGTCAGGGACAAATGGAACACGGGTTAAACTAAGAGGTTTGCTTGTTTTTTGCGAGTGAGTCGGGGAATTGAAAGCACCCGCTGAGGGAAAACTTCCTATTCGGTGCAATTACGGAGCGGCCGCGACACCGGGCCCCCTGACGGCGGTGATATTGCATTGTGAGTTAGCGCTGGCTAACAAGTCTGACAAACCCCGGCTAGAGTAAAGGGAAGGAGAAGAGGGAGCTCTGGGGTGGTGTGTGGGGGGTTTGGGGGGATCTAATGAGATCTGGGAGAGACAGAAGCAGGGAAACAGCGGAGAGGTGAAGCTGAGCGGTGATGAGTTAGCATGTTTGATGAGGTGTGAAATTGCAGTTAGCCTATCTAGTTTCTGCGTTATGATAATTAGTTCCAATTTGTCCAGATGTTTACCCACCTCCTCCCAGCCTCTTCCATTAGTGTAGGAGATCACGTCGAGCAGCGGATTGGACAGGTAGCCATCACTGTTGAAGGAATAGTCTCGTCCACCAATGGATATGTTGGTGAAGTACCTGAAACAGACATTTGGAGAGTAAAGATGTGTCAAAGCAGAGTTATCCCACTTCTTTCCTTAACAGTCAAGCAGCTGGTTTGGAAATTGTCCAAATGGGGGGGTAAGTACGACGGGAAGTTAGTTTGATTTTAAAAATTTAGTGCAAAATAGTTGTCTTCATTGGATTTTCAAAAGATACATAGAAAAAGTTGAAAGAGTTAAACACAGCTGTTGCTTTCATTGGAAGACGTGCTGATG